ATGCTTGAGGGAGAATAAGACATGTTAGGAGTAGAGAGTTAATGAGTGAGATGTTTTGAAGCCGTATACGCGAAGAGCATTTTTTAAAGAAAAAAATGTTTACCTTTTAATTCATGATCTCTTCCATGATTTTGAAATAATGTTTGACGACACAAAAGCTTATCTGGAGCTAAGAAAACTCGAACGCACTCATTAATTTATGATTACTTCTAGTCATAAATAAATGTCCTCAGGGCAAATTTGTGTATCCTTGCATCACTGGACATGACTGGATGAACCACTACTAACCAATCTTGTACCCAGAGCCTTCGTTACCCTTGTCCAGCGAAACAGGCAACGTATTCCTTAGTGCCGACCAAAGGGATCGCAGCCTCTGAAAACGTTATTGCAAGCTCATCTTTACTGTTGTTCGAATTAAGTCTTGTTTAACAGTAGTATACTATGTTGAAATTTGACCGTTTTGGTGTCTAGCAAGGTCTAGCTGGGTCTAGTCAATGACGTCACCCACTGTTATAACCTAGGGAAAAAGTGGATTCCCTTTGGATTCCCTCGCAGAAAGTGGATTCCCTTAATTGATAGGCATATGGGTCTAGTCAATGACGTCACCCATTGTGATAACCTAGAGAAAAAAAATGGATTTCCTGCATACTAATTAAGTGCCTAGTCAGTGTCTTCCTGCATACTAATTTGGATTAGGTTTACTAATGAGCGTCACTCTACTACAATAGGAACAATAGGCTTGCCTAGACTTGCCCGTGAAGTGACTTGAGCTCGGTTTTCGGACAGTCTATTAAAAGGAAAATAGGAATAAGAGAAGCGATCACCTAGCAACGCGAGAAACGGCTTCCTATATCTTATTTAGCGCTAAAACTCAGATATAAATAAACAAAACACATGTGCACAAAGTGGAGTTGAAAAGTATTTATTTCCGTTTAGTTTATGTCTTCTTATTGAGCTCTAAAACTCGGATATATATAAACAAAATACACAAAGTAGAACTGAAAACTCTATTTCAATTTTGTCTGACGTTTTCTCCGTTCTATCTCGAGGAAATGAAAAACTATTAAAGTCTTGTCATTTTCACGCACGGTTAATCAGTTAATTATGCGAGTTCACAAGTTGAATACAAATTAGCTCTACAGGAAAGACCCAAGGGAGAGAATCTTGACGTATTATTATAAAACAAATAACTTAACAAGGATCAATTAAAACACGCGACTAATAATTGCTAGCAATAAAAACACAAGAGAGATACCGTTTTAAAAAACTTTATTAAATTTCAACATAGTAGACTACTTTTAACAGCTCTAAACTTTATAAAGAGACTAAACAAGGGCACCCAACGACCGAACGTTTCCAAATACGCCAGAAATGTCTCAGATGGCTTTCTCTGTGCTTTGGAAGCCTGTTTGGTTAATTTGGAGTTGCCCTAAAAACTATTTATCTGTTCAGATGTCTTAGGGAAACTTTGGACGTCACGAGAGTTTTAGGTGGCTTTTTCGTCTCATCCCGAAGCGTTTGCTACCCTTATGGGTCCAGTCGAAAGTTCGAGGGCATGAAGTAGCCGAGCTTTCGTTAGAAAATTATAGGGGACGTTTTGACTTTATACCGAAAGTTTTAGGAGACCTCTTTTAACAATAATCGCAATATCTTGGTATTAAAATGTGAATAACACAACCTCCGAAAATCGTGGTTAAGCCTCCGAATATTTTAGACGAATGGAACAATTATCCTGAAATTTTCAGCTTTTGTCAAGCTTTAGAAATTTCTAGGCAATATGTTCTCCTTCGAACTGTTATTTTACGGAAAGAGTCGCTGGGTGCCCCTGACTAAAGTAGTCAAAATTAAATTATATTCAAACACATTACACTGCTTAAAATTATTTAACTTTCCATAGGGCCTTGTCATGTAATATCTTAAGCTGCTATTAATGAAAGCAAAAATGTTTGGTAGTATAATTGTTGTTACAAGGGATAGTTTAACAGTAAAGAGTGGGACCCCGTTAATACGACCACCGTTGGGCCATAAAATCCTGGTCGTAATAACGAGGTGGTCGCATTAACGGGGTCTTCAAAATAATAAAATGACTCAATGTTTTTTACGTTTGGTTTGAAAGAATATGGCCGTAATAACGAGGTGGTCTTATAAACGGGGTGGTCGTAAGGCGGGGTTCCACTAAATTGATATAAGCTGTAACATGTGTCTGTGTGAAATCAGAAACGCAGGATATAGCTAGGGTTTTGAGTTTCTGGCCATGTCTACTTAACAGAAACATATAACCCCGAACGGGGCCAGTATATGCTTCTGGTTTGACTGAGATAAAATGAAGTAAAATTTCTTAATTGGCTACATCTCGTTAGTGCAGCGAGAGGGCCTTTCAAGTGGTACGACTCGAATGAGTCATACAACTGGCTCCAGAAAGTTGTTTAAAGGGCAGATAGCGCTATTCACCGGATAAATCCCCGGGGGGGGTTACTGCCATATATGTGCTATATAGGTATGTGCCGCTGTGAAGGGTATGGTTTTCAAGCAGTTTACTCTTGGATGGGGTATATAAATCAGAGCGTTTGGGTCTAGAATAGGGTATCATTTTTCAGGAAACTGATCAGTTCAGTTGAAGATTTTATCTAGACTAAGGACTGTGGTATAAGGTTTTGTTTTGGCTGGACTGTGCTAGAGACCTCAGTAGTTTCTAGAAATCAGCTACTCTAGGATAGAGGGGATTTGGGGAGTTTACTCTAGTATAGGGTAGTCAAATTCAGCTGAGCTAGCTCTGGTATAGGTTAAGGGTTCCAGGGTCCCTGCGGCACATCCCCACCCAGAAATTCCCAAAGTACAGTAATGAAAACCAGTTGCATTAGCCACTAGATAGAGACATATCCGGTGCCAGCGTTACCCACCTTTTGAACAAATAGGGGCTGGTGGATTAGGATGAATATATGCCGGGATGAATAAAGTATGGTTAGAGCGTGAAAAAGAGAAACATTGTCGGCATGTATATTTCTCGTTCTGTAAGCTAACCACACAAGATTCTATGTACGCTGTGGCGAAACTGCATAAGGCAGGGGGGGGGGGGGCGCAATTGGGTATTTTTTTGCTTGGGTATGTGCCGCCTGGGACTCCAAATTGGCACCCCGTTCTAAAAAAAATTTCCCCTAAAGTTGATACCCCGATCTAGAAATAGACCACTTTTTTATTCCCGTGCTAGAATTCGCCCTAAAACTGATACCCCGTTCTAGAAATGGGCCAATTTTTTATGCTCCGTTTTAGAAAGTTTGTAAATTGAAATAGCCCGTTTTTTAAAAAGATATTTCTTTATTTGTTTGACTTGCACATCAAATAAATGCTTCTTCATAATTATCCGGAGCACGTTTCCTATGCATGTGGATACAATGCGGGTAATTATGACGCAAAATCTCTCACCACGCACAGAACCACGCTCTTAAGCTAACGATTTTCCTTCTCCTCCCCCGTCCCTTTCTTTTGAGCCTGTCTCCATCCCCCTCGGGTACATTATGGACTCGATTCAGACTTCCGCGCGCCCAATTATCCAAGATGGCGCAGTCAGCGCTCGCGGCTCGCGCCAAATACGCCCGCCCTGCACGCTAAAACGCAGGGTGCAACAAGAGTACAACAGTTTGCTTGTTAACGCATGGAACCTTTTTTTTAAAAGCAATCTGTCCTTGAATAATTTCAAATGGCTGCTAACCTGATTGGAGCTTTCGTGCGTTCGAAATATTATACCCCGTTCTAGAAAACGCCTCTGAAATGGATACCCCGTTCTAAATCAGGAGCTTCAAAATCACGACCCCGTTGGGCGGTACATACTCGTATAGGTAATGTCTGGGAGTATCCCCCCGGGGATTGAAGGCCTTGACTAAAGCTGGATCGGACCGAATTGGATCAACCCCTGTAACCCTATCCCTAACCTTTCTTCATTTAGAGAAATTAAAATACAGGAGTTGATGTTATCCGGTCCGATCCAGGTTTTGTTGACGCCTGTGCCTGAAGACCGTTTACGATTTCAGGTCGCCTATGAAAAACGTTGTGCCTGGAGCACTGAAACGTTATTTTTCTTCTTGGCCAGGGGCACCCAACGACAGTTTGCTCCTACATACATTGAAAACACTTTTTTCATTATCATTGTCATGATCATTGTCATTACAGTGAATAATCATACTACACCCCACTCCCACCCCCGACGCCAAACAATTCTCTCGACAGCCTCCCATGCCAAAGGGACGATTTGCAACGTCGATTTCCAGCGTAACAAAGCGTTGCAATATTGTTGCGACATTATTTTGAACAGTTCCAATATTGTTCCAATATTGCAACGACGTTTTGCGCTATTAATTATCGAAAGGTGCGAATCGTCCCGTGCAACAGCTCCTTACCTCGACCATTTTCATTTTGAGGGAGGGGGGATATGGGTGATTTCAGAGAAGAATATCCTGCAGACTGATTTCGAGGGAAAAAATGTTGCAAGGAAAATAGCAAATACAGTATTTATTCGAATAAGCGCCCAACCTCGAATTAGCGCCCACCTCGAATAAGCGCCCATCCTAAAGACAGAAAAAGTTAATAAGCGCCCACCTCGAATAAGCGCCCACTCTCAAAGTCCAAAAATTTAATAAGCGCCCAGGGCGGTTAATCGAATAAATACGGTACCTGTCAGGAGCCCATCAAATTTGATGGGCTCCTGTACCTGTGGAAAATATTTTATATCATTCCTCAGTGCACTGAATAAAAAAATATTATGGCGTATAATGCTAAGGGAAAAATCTTACACTCTTATATATCGGGGAACAAAATTTAATATATCTCCAGAAGTTTGGGGGAGGGAAAATTCTTACCCAAACTAGATTGCGCATACCCGCCACAACAAAAGTAAAATGTTCCATAACTTCTACCCGTCTTGTCTGCCCCGTGGGAGGGACCGTGGGAGGCTCGTGTAGACTACCCTACCCAGCTGATTACCGCTGATATCACGAGCCCGAGATCACGAGCCAGAGTTCCAAGATGGCACCCCCGGCTCCTTCTTCGAGGAAACGGGTAAATGTAAAAGAAGAGGCGAAAACTGACGAACGGGAATTCTTTCAGCTAGCGCCTTTGCCTTTGAGCATTTTCCTTATATTTCTGTTGATCTTATACTGGGTAAGATATCTATTTTATGATTCGTGTAGCAGCTGTTTCTGTTGGAGAATGGGCAATCTGGCTCATGCCATAGGGAACCCACTATACTATGTAGGAAAAATGAAGGAGACTATTTTTTCCGAAACTTCGTGTGCATATAAAGGACAACAACAACTCGTCACATGATAAGTTTCGTCGATTTTTATCTTCATTTTCTAGCAAATTTCCAGACCTAAACCTCGCCCCATACTGTACTCATGTTAGAGGAAACCCGTACGTGACAGAAATAGTGAGCCTGGGTGACCTCTGCTCATACTCGGTGTAAAATCCTGTGAACCACACCAATGAAGTACTAAAGCAATTAATACAAAGAAGCCAGTGACAATTCAACACAATAGAGCCAAGGAAAATAATAACTAGAAAGCAAAGAAAAACTTCTCGGGTTTTTACACCGAGGATGACCCAAAAATCTTTTTCAAAAAGATCATTGATCTACGCTGTCAGGTGGCTTGTGTAGGCAACAATTTATAAGTGTATTACTATGAATGGTTTTAACTCAGGAGTCATAAGTAGGTGGACCATGATCGTCTGGGTGTCTAGCCTGCGAGCATCTTAGTCGCATCCCCATCTTAGTCGCTTTTGGAAAAAAGTAATTTTGGCAATCCCAGCTCAGTCACTTTCTGTGTATGCCTTGGTGATCCTGAAATGAACGGACACATGTATTAAACTTAATGCGGTGTAAATCTATTTATAAATGCCTACATACCTTAATTTTCTGACCCCCAAAATCCTGAAAATGTGCTACCCCATTCTAGTAACTCTTATAAAAATGCAACCCCATAATAGTCAATCCAGCGACACATACATACATACATGTCTTTTATTTGGAGTCTTATGCAATAAATAGTATATCAACTATTTCCAAATAACTAAAATTACAAAGCCTCTGTTTCAAAGCAATTCTAAGTGCAAAGCCACTGATATGAAAATGATTTTTATTCTTATGCAAATAAAACTCATTTTCACAAGAAGGGTTTTGCACTTAGCCTTGTTTTGAAAGTGAGAGGTTTTGGAACTCAGAAATAGACCATTCTTCATCAGGGTTGTCATTAAGAGCCGGGGGCCGGGGATTTTCCCCGGCTACTAAGAGAGTGGCCCCCGGCTACTTTTATTGGAAAATAGAAGAAAAATAGATCCAAAAGAAATCCCTAGCCTTTTGATTCCCCGCCTACTTGTTGTATTTACCCGGCAACTTGAAATCTTAGTGACAACCCTGCTTCGTAGAGAACAGGCTTGAGTGTTGCAGGGTTACCTTTAACTACATCACAATACGACTATGCTTTCAAAACTGTTGTCCCAAACTTGTGCTCTAAGAAAAAATTGAATGGACCCCAAGGCTCCAAAATCCAGGGTACCCAGCCCATGATTTCTAGGGAAAAAAATGTGATTGTCCAGTCACCCAGGAGCAAATGTTATGTGCCAGGGACCACCTGGTGTCACTAGAGCCCTACCTTCTGTGCTCCTTGATTGCATTTATTACACCGACCCTATTTCTTGCAGTTTGTTTGCTACAATGTAGATGCTCTACCTTTACAAGCATTGGGACCAGTAGGAAAAGTGTTAGCATATTTAGCATCCAATTATTTGAAAGCATTAAGACTTGGGTGAGTACTTGAAGTGTCACTCAAACTGTATTTTTTGCGGGCCTCTCACATGTGCAAAGCACTTGTAGCAAGCACCATATAGGTAAGAAAAATTGGTTATCTATGCATCCAAGAAATTTTGGTAGTGACTTCTTGTCATGTGACCATCCGTCTGCACCACAGGCATACCAATGTAAAATAAGTCAATCAACAGGTATACCAAACAAATGCAACTCTAGGCTTTTTTGGCGGGAAATCACATGGCCACCCATGTCTTGTGAAGCAGAGACAATTATTAAAGAGTCATTAAAGACAAAACAGAAAGCGGAAATTGTTTCTGCATCCTTGTTGTCTAAAGTATTGATTTTAGCTTAGATTAATTGTCGTGTCCACAAATTTGGAATATAGAGAAAGAGAAAGACATAGAAAACAAGGAAGTAGGTGACAGGATAGAGAAGCTCAATAAGAAAAAGAGCAACAGAGAGAGCTAGAGCGAGAGATAAAAAACAAAAGCGATGAATTTCATTGGAAGAACAATGTGAAAATTTTGCAGTGGCAGTGAGAAAATAAGAAATGCTAGTGGTCAGCAAGGTGAAAATGAACAGCAGTGAAAAAAAAGTGAACAGGAATACAAGCAACAAATTTTGGGGGGAGAACATACGACATTTTCTTCATAAAATGGTTAATGTGTAACTAAAAAGTTTCACGTTGCAACAACGACAGCAAAGAAATGTACAAAAAAAGTGATTTTCTTGATTTTTTATCTAATTAGACCAATTTTTTTTTGCTGTTCTTGTTTCCATCACCATTTAGCATTACACGATTTCATTTTTTGAGTAAAGTAAAAGTATTTCAATGAGAGCTTTCCTTTTCAGTAGCGGGACCGGAGTACCTAGAAAAAGTCCTGAGGTGCTTAAGGATAGTCAGCCAGACAAATTGGGCTCCGTGACATAATAATACTTGGCTTCAATTTGTTTTCAAAGTCGCACATTACAGTAGTTAATTCTTGAAGAAAACTAACAATGGAGCTTTGCCACATATATAGTCAAACTTTATCATATTTAGGATCACAAGCTTCAATGAATTCATTTCATAACTTTGATTACCACCTTCCTGCTTTAAGCCCTTTTTTGATTGCAAAATAGTAAGCATCTTTGTTTTTTAAAAATTTCCCCCATTTCTCCCACTTCCCACCCTTTAGAACTCCCCCTCTTGCCCATTTATATCCTGCCTCCTACACTCCTTCCGTCCCTATTCCACAGTCTATTGGGCCACCACCCGCCTGTCCTCCCCCAGATTCCTTGCTAGATTTGATACTCTTCCCAAGGTTAAACTTGAATTTGAAACCAACATGGCGGCCTTTTACAGTAAGCACTTGGCCTTAATAATCTCGGGGGGAATACAAGGAGGTCGGAATACAAAACAGGAATACAAGCAACAAATTTTTCGGGGAGCACATACGACATTTTCGTCATAAAATGTGTAACTAAAAAGTTCATGTCACAACAACGACAGCAAAGAAATGTACAAAAAAGTGTGCTGCGTGTGCAGAGTTCTTGATTTTTTTTTTCTAATTAGACCTAATTTTACTTTTTGCTGTTTCTGTTTCCATCACCGTTTAGCATTACACGATTTCATTTTTTGAGTAAAGTAAAAGTATTTTAACAAGAGCTTTGCTTTTAGCCCTGGCTTGAACTATATATTAGGTCATATCAGGCTGACAGGACTGGAGTACCTAGAAAAAATCCTGAGGTACTAAAGGATGGTCAGCCAAACAAATTGGGCCCCGTGACTTAACAATACTTGGCTTCAAATTTTTTTTTCAGTCGCACATTACAGTGGTTTAAATTCTTGAAGAAAACTAACAACAGAGCTCGATCTGCACATACATAGTCAAACTTTATCATATTTAGGATCACAAGCTTCAATGAATTAATTTCGTAATTTTGATGACCACCTTCCTGCCTTAAGCCCTTTATTGATTGCAAAATAGTAAGCATTTTTTATTTTTAAACATTTCCCCCATTTCTAGTGCTTCCTACCCTTTGGAACTCCCCCCTCTTGCCCATTTACATCCTGCCTCCTGCACCCCTTCCGTCCCTGTTCCACAGTCTATTGGGCCACCACCCGCCTGTCCTCCCCCAGATTCCTTGCTAGATTTGATACTCTTCCCAAGGTTAAACTTGAATTTGAAACCAAGATGGCAACCTTTTACAGTAAGCACTTGGTCTTAATAATCTCAGGGGGAAATACAAGGAGGTCGGTATAATAAACAGTCTACACAGACACCTTCATTTTAAGTGAAAATATCAATTTTGTACACCTACAGGACCCCTACTGGTGCCTACTTTATATCAGAAATTTCAGAGACTGTAGTTTTACTTTTGGTGCCGATTTGCTTTTGATTTAATCCAGCTGCAATTGATGTCATTTTAACAACTTTTTTCCTATTAGTTTCAGATTTGCAATAATGGTCCATCTTCTGGAGGCTGGTTTTGCATACAGAGTCTGTAGGTAAGGACTCTTTCTTCAATAATATTCTCATCCCTCAGAGGAGTAGGATTTCCTGCTCTACTCTGCACATGGGGAGAAGGTCCTAATAATGGTGATGATGAATTTAAGGAACAAGAACGCAGCCCTTAGAAATGACCTCTCCACCTCTACTCTCTCTTTCTGTTTTGTTTTCTTTGTCAACAATTTTTGTTGTATTATTTTCCCCTTGATCCCCTTTGCATAACCCACAGTCAAATTTAGCATTTTAAGTAATGCTGGGTAGGTTAATCTTATGTCCACATATATTTTTATATTTTCCTGCTAACAAATAAAATTATTGTTTGTCCTGTAGGCGGATGATGTTCTCTCGTTTGACAAGTTTCAAGTGGCTGGTACAAACTTTTGTGGTTGGTTTTCCTTCACTGGGCACGCTTCTCCGATACCGGAAGGAGAGAGAGCTCCGAAAAAACAAAAGTGAATAATGATAAAGAAACCATGACAGCCGCAATTTGCAATACTATACAGTTGAACCTCCACTAACGCCACCTCTCTACAATGGCCACTTTTTCGTCCCAGCAAACAAAAAATCCACACATTGACTCTTCATTAACACCTCTCTACAACGGCCCCCTGTTTACAGTGGCCACTTCCTTCTGTCCCCAAAGTGGCCATTGTAGAGAGGTTAAAATGTAGTAAAGAATGCCATTAGAACCAACACCTCAAAGAGGCCCAAATTAATGATTTAAAATGGATCTGTTTTTGATGAGAATCGATGTTAAGGGCTAGTAAATGATACATAATCTCTATTTCTCTTGATTGTGTGAGAATAATTTTCTGTTGTACTATGAAAATATGTCTGACAGGGTATTATATCTTTTTCATAGTCGTTTACAAAAAAAATGAAGGTAATTAATTCGATATTCTCTTAGCTTTTTATTATTTAAATTAGCACTTAGGATTAATAGTGTGATCCTAAAGCAAGGTTCCATCATGGAGAAATACATACATTTACAACAGGACAATCTCTTGTTTATTTATGCAAATAAATACACTACTGGTTTTTAAAAGGTGTTTTATCTTTATTTACTATCAATGATTCCACTTCTTTCCCTGAGAAGAGATAATGTATGAGGAGTCTGTCATCAACACTAACCACAAAGGGGGCATATTTGAGGTAACTCGCTATTGAAACTGCCCCTTCATTTATTCAGTTACAATGTGTGAACCAAGAGAAAAGAAGGTTGTGCACAGCCAGGGGGTACTCAAGATTATAAATGGCAGCACCATTTTTTTCATCTTTGAGTTTTTCTGGCTTTCGTAGGAAAATAAAATGTTCCCTATTAGCAGGCCTTATCAGGCCAGCTACAAGATTTCTTGACACTTACATTATCTAAGTTCATCATCATCACCAACCGGTCTATTCTCCTGTTCTAATGTTGATAAGAGTAGGAACAAACGTCAATTTTGTAAGAAAAGTATCACAATGAATGCCAAGGATGGCATTTCCTTAAATTCACTGACCAATACATGCACAATTTATTCAGCTTTTAGCATGTGTCGTAGTTCCTGTTCATGTGAGGGAACAAAGTCAGCTGGTTTTCTTCCATTCTTATCTTTCACTTTCACAAGACTAGAGTCCAAATCTAACAACAATTCAACAACTTCTTTGTGCGCCTTCTGAGCAGCCTGAAAATAAGTTAATGAAAACAAATCAGTCACACCCCCAAGTGTAAAAAGTAGTAAGAATAAAAAGGAAACTAAACCATTGTACTTAGCCTGAAAAAATAGCCAACATTTTGCGCAGCCACCAGAGGTTTCCCAGCAAAATGATGTCTGAGAAAAGAGCACAGAAATTCCATACTGATGATGTGACTTTTCGAGGTTCAATTTTGGGCCAAAGGATTTTTGGGATCTTGCTTCTAGCCCAAGTTGTTTTGAGGGGCTCAACTTTCATTTTTACTCAATCATTCCTGTCACTTTAAATCCAAGGTACCCTCACCCCCCTCCAGCAGGTGCTGTTAGCAAAATGTTAATTATATTAGGCTATGGTGGTTTCTGCCTGTTTCACTCACACTGCTACTGTCAATGATAAATTATGAAATAAAGACACAAATAATATTAGTGTACCTTATGCAATGGAGTCTGTCCATCACTGTCACTCAGCCTGGGATCAGCCCCATATTTGATGAGAAGTTTCACCACTGTCACATGTCCAGAGTATGCTGCTCTGTGCAGAGATGATGCCCTGCCTGACCTAGTTTGAGCATTCACATCTGCTCCCCTCTCAAGAAGCAAACTACAAGCATCTTTATGGCCACTGCGACTAGCGTAATGCTAAAAAGATGAATGGCAAAGAGTTCACAACATGGTTTGATCATCAATTTCCAGAAGTGCAAGTGAGCCTATGCAATGTCACCAGTATTGATACCTCCACAAGGCTGTGCTCTAACGGCACCGGGTGGCCCAAGGCAACTAACATTAAGCTTCACGCAAGTGAAAAAAAAATTCCCAGTCACTCGGCCAGGCACTCTCGCTTCTAGTACAGTGTTTAGTTAAGCAGGCAAAAAATTTTTGGTGTTGGCTTGTTGAGTCAGAGTTCACTAAACTTCACAGAAAATGTTTTTTGTATGAAACAAACAAGCGTGCGTTGATGTCTAAAGGTTGATTTTCTGCATGATTTCACACGTAACATAATCCATCACTTTGAGTGTGACAAGCGGCACAGATTTCGATTTGTACCGCTTCTCAAAATAGTTTTAAAATTTTTCGTTTCAGAAAGAATGGTTTAGTCGGTACAGTTTTTAGGAGAACTGTTGATACGTCTCTGACAAGCGTAGAGCCTCCTAGTCTAATCCCCTCACCACACACAGAAGATGTTCATTGACTAGCATAATGCTAGAAAGAATATGGAATCACATGGAAAACATGTAGTAGAGTTGGTGGTTGGGGAATAGGGGATAAAAAAATAAAACACTTACTGGCAAAGATGTATGGAATTTCATCTCCACTACAGAACAACAGAAAGGCCCTGAGAATTATAGCTAAACAAATATCTACCACAAACTAGCTTTCTCACCAGGGCTGTATATCCTGAACCATCTTGTGCATCAGGGTCCCCTCCCTTGTCCAAAATTGTGGTGATCCGTTTCACATTGTTGTCAAGAGCAGCTTGCCAGATGCCTCGTTCAAAGTCCATTTCAGTCAAAGACTGGGTATATAATGAAGGCTTTGATGAACAATCGCATACATGTGTACTGTGATGTTCACAAGATTCTTCCATTATTGCTTTCCAAAATCGTCAGTCATTTAGTTGTCACAAGACTATGCATGAATGTAACCTACAGAAAAATAAAGAGATTTATGAATATAAATATACAAAATGTGGACAAGAAAGAAAGATGTTTCGCTGTCATCTTGACACCATTTTCAAGTTCAAATTGCTTGCTGATAAACTGTCAAAAATGGTTTTCTCGCTGATGATTAGCATATATGAAAATAATAAACAAAAGTCACGCAAAAAGTTTTGCTTGAATTGAGTCCGATTAATTAAGAGAAGGTGTTAGTTTCCTAATTAGCAAAATTTTATGCACTAACCGCTTGAACTTGTTATTGCACTTCTTAAGGACAGAGAACTGTTTGTTAAGATCTTTTGGGACAGTAGAGTGTTTCTCCACGCAGGACGCTACCATAGCGTCCGGCCTGGAGAAACCACTGCTTCCAGGGTACCCATCATTTTGTATGCTAAAATGGTCTCAAATTACACCCACACATTCGTCCCTCTCCCTTTTCCTGTTTTAGTGTAAACTAGACACTAGTACATACCCAGGGGCCCCACTCACATATTTTAATGACGGGGGGTCCGAAGGATTTTTTTGGGTCTGACATTTTGGCCAAAAGGGATTTTTTGGGGTCTATGAAAGATGCCGGGATTTTTTGGGGTCGCAAAAACAACACAGGGATTTTTTTGGGTATTGTATTTTTCATCAGCTCAAATCAACAATAACATAAGCACAATTTACTGCTTGTGTGAAATTACGGGATATTTCTGAGATTGTAATCTATGTGAAAAGTAATTACCGGCACTTCACACGCATCTAATCCAGAGAGAAATGTAAAAACAAAGGCAAGGAAAACTGATTTTGTAAACTAAACTCAAACCGGGAGTCAATGCTGTTGAGTTCCAGCAAGAGCTAAGAGGTCCAGTCAGTTGTGATCCCATTTTTGTTGTATGAAGAAGTTCTCTTGAAAATATTAGTAACATAACATTGTCTGTCCACCTTTTGAGATATCAGTTGCACAAAAACATGGTGAAAAGTCTGATGCCATGACGTCTGTTACATAGGAATGTTTCGGTACAATAGCAAGCAAAGAATGTGCTAAGGACAAGACATGCTGTGGATGTCATAATGAATATCTTGCTGTAAAGTTGTCGCAGAAGATAGGGTGAAGAGACACTATAACAGTCATGCGAGCTTTTTGTATTTGCTTTTGTATAGTTTTGTTTTTGACTAAAACCAAAGTTGAAGTTGACATGTTTTAGCTTTCCAGAAAATATATAATAAAATTTGCTAATGCAAAAACACTGAGGGATTTTTTGGGGTATGCTAAAAAAAGTAGGGATTTTTTGGGGTAGACAAATTCTGAAGTTGGGATTTTTTTGGGTATAAAATATTAACCTCTGTCGGACCCCCACGTCATTAAAATATGTGAGTGGGGCCCCTGGGAGTACATATTAGTCCCGGGGGGTACTCGCAGAAAAATTGGGTAGGTGTGTGCGGCCCGCTTCCCAAAACCCAAAAATTTGATACCCTATTTATGACCTGACCCTTAAATAAATACCCTGTTTCAGACCTGCCTTATAATTATTTCCCTAGTTCACACCAATGTTAAAGGCAATGTTTATCTGCTTTTATTAGGTTAGGGGGACATGATAAGGAAGTAGCTTCTTCTAAAAAAGTGTATTCAAGACTACAGTGTAAAAATCGTTACCCTATTTATGACCAAAATGGCGGCAAAATAGCCAAAATCGATACCCAATTTATGACCAAAACGGCTGAAAAACCCTACCCCCCCCGGGATATTAGTAGACCCAGGTACGTCTTGAATTAACACCCCTGGGTGGATACTTACCATCTTTGTTGCTCCCTTGCTATGATGGCAACCAATGTAGCGGAATATAAAAATTTACTGAAAATATCCTATAAATATGTTCCTTTTTTCAATGTAATATAGTCAACGCGTGTAAGTGAAATGCAAAAAGGAACAGAACTTAGCTGCCACTTTGCCACTTTACCACTTTACTGTGGTACCTTGGAGAGTACCTACAAATTATGAGGGCTGTAGAAAGCAATCATTACTAAATTCAAGTACTTCTAGATATGTAAACCTTCCGCTTTCATACTTCTTTCATACCGTATTGTAACAGAACTAACGTCAGAGGGAAACCAAGTCAAAAGGATGTTTATGTGATTTGAGCGCGACTTGAAAATGTGCGACATGAAGAGAGTCACGAAAAATCACCGGGAGGGCACTGGAAACCACAAAAACAAAAACCTCGTTTCCATTCTTCTTTCTTGCCATTTGTGTCGTGCGTCTGCCATGTTTTCTTACTAGAAAGGTTTGGTGCAAAATGGCGAGAGATTTTGAGAATTCTTCCTCTAGGAGAGACAGAAGTCCATCTCCAAGACATGAACACAGGAGAACTCGGTATCCTCGTTCAAAATCACGCTCAAAATCGAGAAGTCGGAGCCGAAGCAGGGAAAGAAGCGGAAGCCGTGAACGTTTTCGGTACGTGCATTGCTATCTCATTTATAGTTTAACCTGTCACTCCTAATTTTTGCAGATTCTTCGGGAATCCTACGGTAATTTATAGAATTATGGAGTGTAAAGAGAAGCCAGAATCCAGGCCACTTTGGGGCTGTGGCTTTGGACGAGTGTCATGATAAAGTCTCGGGGTATCCAATCGATGGAATCGATGATCGGAAAAGCAATCGATCAATCGATATCAATCGATGAAATTAGTTAGTTGGTCTCGATTGGTATCAGTCAATCGATGATCAATCAATAACCACACAAAAATTGTTCAGCGATTGCTATCAACTGGCACAGCAACCTTGAACAGACGTCATTCATGCTAGCTGTGATGGGCTCCTGATGCTGCCTGAAGCCCTAGGGATGAAATTGGTAAAACAATTCCAACCCAGTCTTCTCAACGCAAAGGATATACCCCGTTGCACATGTACTCGAATAACCCACTTGCCCATCACTGCCTTTCCGTTTCATCCGGAGTATTCAATTGATGGAAATCGATGATCAGAAAACCAATCAATCAATCGATATCAATAACCACATGAGTGGTCATCGATTATCAATTTCAATCAATTAATTGATATTGATTGGTATTGACTGATATCGATTTTCATCGATTGGATACCCCGGGTAAAGTGCATGATCATGCGTTCATTCCGAATGTTCGTTTCGTCACGACTGTTTACATATAATTATGTTTTTATTATATAAACACCAGTGAAATACCAGGTGAGATTTTGCACGAAAGCATGATATCTTCACAAGTGAAAAGATCACCATTGCTATGACTACATAATAAATTGCTTCTTTCACAGGAAAAAGATATTTAAGTCTTGTTCACTGCGTGCTGTAGTGGTGTGTAACTGCCATCTTGAATCACCTAACATCTTTCATACATGTAGGTTCATACATTGAGTACTCTCCTCAGACTGTTTTGGAAAGTGGTTCTTACTTGTTATTCATTCTGTGTGGTCTTCATAGACATAATTAGATAACTTTATCCCTATTTTTTAGAAGAAGGGGTGCTGGAGCTCCCCAAGTAAAAAATCTGGTAAAGACACTGGAACCGCTATAACAACATCAGCTGCATTAGCATTTCAGTAGTGCAATGTATGTTACTATTATTGTAATTAATTTTGTCAGGCATCACAGACACAAGAGAAGACTCACCCCAGAAAGCTTTATGGACAAGTAAGTTAATTCTCTTGTATTTTTTCACCACTTTTTCTATAATTTGAAATTTATTAAAATAATAATAAGGACATGTAACATACCTGTTTGGATTTTGTCCTTTAAACTTTTTCTCCCTTCCTTCCTTGTTGGGTGGTTATCCACTGGCTCAAGTTACATGTAGGACTACTTTGAATGCTGAGCATATTGTACATACAGGTCAGAGCAAACACATGTGCTAGCTGCAACACCATGGCAAAATGCACTGTGTATGAGCACAAAATTTAACATCCGGTCAGCTTTTTATTTCCGGTCTAGTATATGAACCAATTGCATAAGCAAAACATTGCCGTCGCGCCAAGTTTACAAGCAAAAAGGGAGAAGCAGACAAAAAAGGAGGCGAAAAAACTCACGTCAGTCAATAGCTTATATATTTTTCTATTGTCAAACTTTTCCACCACATGGTTATCTGGTTGCACCAACGCTGAAAATGATGTTTGAAGTTTGTAGGTCGCGAGCGCTCGACAAGACGAATTTGTTTTTACTGGCTTTCTTGCATGCTACTGGTTTAGCATGAGTTAATAAGGCAATAACTAAGAAAAGAATAGCAATACTTACTAACGAAACCACGTCTTTATTATCATTAACACAAGGAACAGGAAATAAAAGTTTAGTCCATTCAATAATTTTTTTTATTATCAGAGAAAACAAGAACTCAAAACAAAAGATCGGGATTTAATAAAAACCTTGACTTTGATGACTGCAGTCACGAATACCCGGAGCTTTCGGTACCGGGAAACTAAACATGCTTAAAACGTACTTCATTCAAGAAAATACCTTGTTAATTCTTACTGTGCTTACTAGCAATTCAGTAGCAAAATGCTGTTTCTATAGAAACTGTAACGACAAAAAAAGAGACGTAATTTACTGCCACTACCCCTCTGCAGTACTTATAGCTCAGTGTCTGAAGGGGCTGGAAAAATGACTGAAACAAATAAATCAAATAACGTACATGTACCATAAAAAGTTTAAGAGATAGGAAGCAAACCATGTTCAAACCTATGGCAGAAGATTGGAACTCAGAACTACTGAGAACAACTCCAGCTAGTAGTCACAGCCGGACTTGAACGTGAAGATTCTCTTTGTTTCAAGTCCAATGCCTTAATCTCATGGCCATGATCACAACACCTACCAAATGTTTCTCTTTTTTCACAGGCGTAGGAAAGCACGTGAAGCAATCAGTGCTTCAGGAGTCATTGAAGTTTGGGGTCTCTCTCCTAGAGAACCACCTCCTGAGTAAGGAGAGTTTAATCTGTTCTTTACAAGAATAAGCGGTTACAGTTAACTACATGTATAATTTTTTGGAAGGAAACCAACTCTAGGAACACAAGTCTTCTGAACAGGGCTCCCCCTTTGGGATAAACATCCCCCTACTACTCCCCCCTCCCTTCTTTAGTTTCTTGTGCATATGCTGAATTTTTGAGGTTAATGTACACTCAGTGTATAGTTTTATATCTTTTGCAAAAGGTTCTAAAAGTTCTGGGCTGGTGCTAAGGGCGACAGGATTTTCCCTGGCTACCATTATCATGGGCCTTGGCTATCTTCATAGGAGGCAAAAGGAAAATAAAACAAAAAGAAAATTCCAAACCATTCAATTTAGGGCTGCCTACCGATAAAATGCTTGCTTATACCCAGCAACTTGAAATCTTGGTGACAGCCCAGAAATTTACATTTATAAGTTCCCATAATTAACAATAATTAGTGAATGAGGCTGAGTATCTTATGAAGAGTTATGGAGATCGAGGAGGGTGTTACGGCTTCGACCGATAACACTTAACTGTATTTGAAACTTTATTTGAAAATTCTTGGAGGCCATGTTTAAAAACTTTACTTTGACTAAGCTCACCCTCTCCAACCACTCCTTACTGCTTGCCATAGAATTTCTGCTTCACTTTAATACATGTACATGGAAGCTGAAAAAAAATCTTATTCACACATAATATTGTCAAATGGTATTGACAGCTCTGATGAAGAGATGAGAACTGCAGTATCAAATGGAATAAAGAATAAAGGTGAGTACATTTGACGTTACACAGTGATTGAAGAATGGTAATGATACTGACTGGTGTCTTAACAAAATCAACAAACCTTTAAGTGCATTGGAACTTAAAGCTTACAGTGTACATCTGGCCAGCTTCTGTAACAGGGGAAAATAGCATCATTCATGGCTTCATTGTAGCTTGCCTTTTCAAATGAGGGGAAAAGTAAAACTGATTGGGTTATGTTGTTGTCTCATGATGTCATGACGGCCATATTGATGTACCAAAACAATGAAAGGTAACCATGTTGGGGACCATTATGTCTGTGGGATTGATCTCTTTTCTTCTGCAAAAAGTTTCTTTCTTTTCTAAGGAAGTTGCTTATCCTTTATCTATTGGCCACAACAAATTTGTCGTGTATCCTTGACAAATCGAAAGTACAATGCGAACCAGTCCATGGAACCTTACATTACACTGCATTTAGTTTTTGATTGATGTGCTTGGTGCTGTTTCCTGAAGACAGTTGCCGAATGAAACTTGAGATTAACCCTTTAAGTCCCAATGGTAACCAACATCAATTTTCTCCGAACAATATCCATAGACTGTCAAGAGATTAGGTTATGAGAGTTAATAAAATGATCATCTAAGAGAAAATGCTTTGATCTTTTTTTTCTCAAATTCTCAACGCATTCTTAAAGGAAATATATAGAGGTCAGTTTGGAGAATTTGTATGTGGATATTGGGGCTTAAAGGGTTAAGTGTTAATTTTCTGCAAAGGATTCTTCCTTGCTCGTTTTGTTTCATGTTTTTTTGTCAGTCCATCTCCAATTGAGTTATTGTTCATAACATGCCAGAAGATCCTCCATTATTGTGGAAATGGTTGCAGGAAATTTGCTCCTTATTCTACAGGACCTTCTAGAATGATGGTCTTTGATCCAAAATAATTGGACATTATAGGAGTACTGATTGAGGGTTGAAATCCTCACCTGAGATATGAAATGACCCAGTCATTATGTAAACATGGTATGAAACCAAAAAATCATCCCGGTATGAAACTCGATTGTGCTGGTGCGTGTTTTCTCACGTAAACACCCGCTTATGTTCCTTTCATTGCAATCCGTGAGTGAATGATGGAGACTTGTAAGGTGGTTCTAACTTTTGAGTCTGCAGATGAAATCCAATGGTGTGACGATTCAATTGAAATCTTTTCAGCAATAAGTTTTCATGGTACACTGTGTTCTTTTGTTTTTTGTTTGGAAATTGTGTTGAAATTTGACTCTGGTCACAATTGGGATTGAAATGGTTAAGACCCTCAGGACAAGCTCAAGTGATGTTGTATTCTTAACTTCAAAGAGTCATGAATGCCAGTGCTCGATTGGTTTACTGCGCACCTAAGTACTGTCACGTTACTCCTTTGCTAAGAGAACTCCACTGGCTACCAGTGCGCTTGCACGTAGATTTTAAGATTCTCCTTGTTACATTTAAGATTCTTCACGGTGTTGCGCCTAGCTATCTTAAGGATCTTGTCTCTGTCTTACCGGACTCACGTTACCAACTACGCCGTAACAATAATGGTATATTATTAGAAAGACCTCGGCTAAGAACGAAGAAGACTTTGGGAGATCGCGCGTTATCGATGGCTGCCCCCTTTTTATGGAACAGTCTTCCTCTGCCAATAAGACAGGAAACATCAATCAACTCTTTTAAACGCTCTGTTAAAACATATTTATTTAAAAAGGCTTTTAGTTAGATTATTTACTTATTTATTTATATATTTTTAAATATTGTAATTTTACCGGGTAATTTTACTGGTTTTTAATTTAGTTATTAATAATATTGTAATGCGCTTTTGAGTATTTTTATAGAAAAAGCGCAATATAAGTATTAAATATTATTATTATAAATATATTATTATTCTTGTATCAGGGCAGAGAGGCCAAAAACCACACCCTGTGTAGCAAATTGTTCCCTTTTTAGCTCCACTCGCAGCTGATACTTTTATTACATTTACACTCGTTACATGTAGGTGTTTTAGCCGATAGTGAAAGTGAAGATGAGAGCAGCGAAGATGAAAAAAGGAGAAAAAAGGAAAAGAAGTCCAGCAAGAAAAAGAAAAGAAAATCACGTCATAAGAAGAAAAGGTGACAATAAGTTTAATGATTTAAATTATTACCTGCGTCATACAATGTCTAGATGCTTTGATCTACTATCTGAGGTCAGTTATAAATTGGAAAGTTAGATATATGTAAGTCTCACAGAGTGCACATTATTTTTCAATGTGACTTGGACCAAAGCAAATCTGTAGACTTACCCACAGGGTGCAAAATGCAAGGTTAAGTAAGTCAAACTAAAACTTCGAGAAGTCCACCAGAAAGACTCAGTACCTGGTATGCTAATTTACAATGTTGGGGTGTATAGAGAGTCAGTTGTACAGCTTGCCATTTGGGCAAGCTGTAATTTACAAACTGTACTACAGCATGTACTAGCCCAAGAGTCATTTTAACCAGCCTGAAAAAAAATTTGATTAGCAGGATTAATTACTGTTCTTCTGAATTTTAGCTTCAAAATCCTGATAGCAAAATCCAGTAGCCCTGGGCTATCGGACATGCCTTTCTTTGTACGCTGAATCCGTGGTTTCAAAAAGTATCCATACTCACCCTCTGGTGGTCATTGGAATTTACGAGGGGTAGCATTCTCATAGACTAGCGTTTTTAAAGAAAATGATGACCCTATTGAAGTGGAATTTCTTGAGGGGAATGGGTAGGGGTAAAACAAGTATGAATATTCAGTTTCTGGACCAACTTATTGTAACATACTGATAATATTGGAAAAAGTAGTTTAGCGCTTTTGTTTTATGTTTCGTAATACATTGTATTATTTTTATCTTTCCAGCAAAAAGCATCGCAAAAGGAAGACGAGGCATAAGTCAAGCTCGGAAAGTGAAGATGAATCTGAAGGTATTTGTGGCAGGGTTCGTTCCGCCCGGACGCAAGTCGATTCACCCGGTGACAAATAACACTTTACAACACAGTGTATCAGAAATATTTTTTAGTTAAGCTTGGGTTCTACTACTGTGATTGCTAAAAAGAGTCAAGCGACCTCGATGATCACATTCGAGAAATACTATAAGATTGTAAATAAAACAAACTGAAGTCAGTGTCTTTGATATATTTTTTGTGACGTGCAGTCACTGTGCACTGTAGTTCACGCTTATTCCATTTTTTCAAATAAACATCTGGCGAATCGACTTACATCCGGGCAAAACGACCTGCTACCTTTAGTTAGAGATTTTTTAAAATAGCTGTATAACAAAACGGCAACGTTGTTGCAACCCCATCGTTTGTTGGGGACGCGAATTTTATTCACATACATTCATATGCCCTATTCACTTTAACGTACAAAATACATGTTTCAAACAAATTTTCTTACTTGAAGATGATGTGAACTGCGGGCGTACAATATACTGCAGCGCTAATGCGGAGGCCATGTGTTCGAATCCCGTGGAAGTCCCGAAATTTTTTTCGGGTTTATTTGCAATTGCTTAAATTGCAATTACCACGGTGACGATCATATCTTCAATTTAAATTTTCTTACTCTTTCTGAATGCATAGAGGATTGATTTCATAAGGAAATTTCCCTCAGCTCACTGCAACACATCATAGCCAGTTTTAGAACCCGTTTCGTGCAGGTCTGTGCTTATTAAGGGAGGTACTTATTGCAGCAAAAAGTTGTAACCTAATTTATCGGAGTCAGAAATTGTAAAATCTTTAAAAACTTATTGAGCTATGGTGATTTACTCGACGGTCTTTTGGTGTCTTTTTCTACACAGAAGGAGATGCTGATGTCGAGTGGCAAGAGGCCTGGATTGAAAAGAAGAAAGGTTGGTATCCTTAGTGTAGTTGTACAATGGACTTTGTACGCATTTGTATCCTTTCCTCCGACTTAAAATTTAAAATGACAAGGAATTTATTTGTCAGAGAATTCTAATTTTAACGCCACAGACTAAAGTTTGCAACATCTTTAAATACATAACGGCTTTGTTATTAACCACTTTCACATTGCCCATAATACACCTTTCTTACCCGCCCCCTCCCCCCTCCAAAAAATGAAGTTTGCATACGACTTATTGTTTTCAATCTCTCCTGGGTATTAGTGGTCCCAAGGGAAGATAAAGGCAATGCTTTTTGGGGGGGGAAGGGGTAAACAAAGTGCATTATGGGCAATGTGATAATGGTGAATTCTGGTGTAACCTGTCAAGAAGCTCAGCGCGGAGGGCAGTTGCTTACGACGACTGTCGTTCAGTGAAACTCTTTCTTTTAACACCAGCCATTTTCAATTACGTCTAACGTTAACTTATTCGTGGCACACACTTCTCATTTTATATTTATTTGACTGTTTGATTCTTAGACCAACTCAAAGAAGCTGATAATGGCGTTATAGGACCTGTGCCACTGGTACAAGATGCAGGAAATCAGGATATCAGAGAGTAAGGGCTATTTAAATTTAAAATTAACGCGATTTAGAGAGAGTGACTCTCGGCCGTTTGGATCATCATACAATGTACGTATCTGGGGAACTGCCCACCTACCCCTCCTTTAAGCCAACTTGTTGCCCTAAGTGAGAAGTAAGTGTTAATGTTGGCTTAGGGGAGGGGTAGGTGGGCAGTTTCCCAGAAGTGTATAATGATCCATATCGGATCATTATACGTGTATCTTCGGTCACTTTTAACGTATCGCCTTTAAACTTGGGAAGTTTCCTAATTTTAAGGTGCTATTTCCAGCAGTGTCAATGGATATTCGCCAAATAGTCTTAAACAAAACTCGAAAAAACCGTGGAAGGATCTATTAGTTGGGGACACTTGGAAGGGGTAAAGGTGTATCAGAATGCGCTTCACAAAATCGCGTAATTTCAAAGCCGTTTTTATGGTGGGGGGCACGAAATTGTCCTCGTCCCCCCTCCCCCACCGTACAACGTCTGTAGAATTCGCCGACTTTCTGGAGCTTTGTGGAGTCAGTTTTCAACAACAAATTACGTTCAAACTTGGCACCTGTACTAATTCTGAGGCGTTCTGTTTAGCCGTGCTGGCGGATTTTCGCTAACTAGTCCCAGTAAAAAAAATCCGTGGAAGAGTCTATTCGAGACACTGTCCAGATCAAATTAGAATTTGGACGTATTAGTTTTGTGGGGAAACCGTCTGAGGGGAGAACAAGCAACAAACTCAACCGTCACCTGACGTCGACGTTGGGACTCGGTTGGAGGGGGAATGCTTTCAGGATTGCACAATCCCCTAACCCTACAGAATGAGCTGACAGTGTTGTTTTGCTTTTCGCTTAACTTGTTCCTTTGTTAACAGCTTTGGTGGTGCGCTGTTGCCCGGTGAAGGTGAAGCTATGGCCCAGTATGTCAAGGAGGGTAAAAGAATTCCTCGTCGTGGTGAAATTGGCCTCACCAGTGATGAAATCGCCACTTTTGAATCTTCTGGCTTCGTAATGAGCGGAAGCAGGTATGAATCCTTGTTTTGCGTGAGGCATATAAGACCTTTACAATAATACGTTTCCGTTTAAAACCCAACATTTTCTCTGTATTTGGCGTTGCGCCCTCAGTAAAACAATAACAAACGGAAGTTTTCGAAAACGCCTGAAATTTTCGGGGTTTTTTATTACTTTACTGTGGACGGGTGAAAAGGAAGGTTCTCGAAAACGCCGACATTAAAACTACTCATATTCTATATGTTAATTTTAACAAGGGAACAGACGAGAGTGAAACGTTTCGGACGAAAAGAAGCTCAATATTTGGAAAAAATGAACAGATAGTACATTAACTGGTATTTTTTACATTCTTGCCCAAGTTCTACTTTCTGGAAAATGAGAGTCTAGCAAAAAAAAGTAACAAACGCCTTGGACTTTAGTCTGCGAAGTACACATGTCGGGGCCAACGAAAACGTACCGTCAGATGTGCGTTTTTGATGGCTCGTTGTGTACGGAGACGGTTTTTAAGCATTAGAGAGTGTTAGCATTGACAACGAGTACGAGTACGAGAACGAGTCCATCTCGTACTCGTACTCGTTGTCGTTCTTGTAAAAAATGTGTAAGCAGGACATACGAGTACGACTTCACGAAAAAAAATATTTTGGGATAGTATTGTCATTTTAGGCGCCATTTTCAAATGATTCGGCATCTACTCCTGAGGCTTTCTTTTCTTCTTGATCTTTCTTCTCAAATTCCTCCATAAGCTTGTTAAATCTATCCCTACACGATCGATCTGTTGTCTTGAAATCGTGCTGCGTGTTGGTATTCAGGTTCTCTGCAATTACTCTCCACACTCTCCCTCTATCTGACTGTTTCTGATTGTAGGGTTCTAGATGTAAGACTTCACGTAAAAGACAGGAATCATGCTGACGCTTCCATATAAAAAGTTTTCTTTTCCTGAAACATAAACAGACAGGGCATAAAAACTTTGAAATGTGAGACCGTAATTCTTAGGTTTATGTAAACAATGCGACCTCTTGATGTGACAAACTTGGTTCGTACGGACTATGCTCTGTAAGAAATAAAATGATGTGAATGAAAAATAATTAAAGAAACAGTAATACTTACGTCTCTGGTTGATTCGTCTTGAAAGAAGCTGTAAAAAAAACGAAAAAGGTTAAGTTTATGAGCACGCTAGACGGAGACCATGAGAGCTTCCCATGTCTAAAATTTTGACACGATGTTGACAGAAAGGAAGGAGGATTAATGTGCTATTCAGAACAAAAAAATGCCCCAAAATACCATCCCAGGCCTTCGATGAAGAGTTTAAGTGCTTATGGGACACACCTATGGCAGAGATAACCCGCTACAAAAGATAAACTTTACCTTTCAAAAACTCGTTCTTCGCACTTCGAGTTTTGGAGGAAATCTCGTCGTGGAACGAGTTGCCAGAACGAGTTGAGCACGTGTTCTGAGCAGAACGCATGCGCATTATAGTCAATGGTAAAATCTCGTTCTCGTAGTCGTACTCGTTGTCAATGCTAACACTCTCTATTATGACGATCGTGGCAACGGAAAAGTCAGATTTTGCTTGGAAATAATCGTGTCCATGGATTATTTTGGCCATGTAAATTGAGGTTAAAACTCGGCCACAATTTTAATTTCTTAATTATGTAATGTTTTAAGACAAGTTTTTTCGATTATCATCATTATTGTCATTTTGTATAAATATATGTATGTATTTATTTTATTTTCTATTCTCTCTTAAGACATCGTCGTATGGAAGCCGTCCGTCTGAGAAAAGAAAACCAGATTTATAGCGCTGATGAGAAGTAAGTTATTTTGTGTCTATTTACCCTTTTAAAAACTTTGTTTGTCGCATACAGGTATATACGACGTGTAGTTAAGCATCACTTCAGACGATGCATTTATGAGTTTACAGTTGTACTTGTAGTCCAGGTAAAACCCCAAAAGAAGGCCAATTACGTGAAAGCTACTACGGTGGTGTACAGTTATTTGATAATGTACAGGTGGTTCTAACTTTTGTATCTGTGTACGAAATACTTGAGTGTGACCATTCAAATAAAAGCTACTGATCATTACCTTCCTTTGTTGCTTTTTATCATGCTGTACATGGTGGTTCTCACTTTTCCAAATTTTGGAGTCTGTGGATGAAATCCTGTGGTGTCCATTCACATAAATGCTACTGAGTAGTACTTACCTGTGGTGCTGTGTTTTATGCATCCTCGGAGACCCAGGGGCAGATAGTGGGGGCGAGGGAAAGCCTAAACGGGCGGAAAAATATCGCACGAAGAAAAGTAAAGAACGGCGAGAAGAGCCCCTGGGGATAATCTCTTACTAGACCAGTTCCAAACGGTCGCCGCCGTTCTGCCTTCTGATAAGGCAGAAAAACACAAACGTTTTCTGGTACCAATCAGAAGCCAGAACGGCGGCGACCGTTCGGAACTGGTCTGGTAAGACATTGTCCCCAGGGGCTCTTCTCGCCGTTTTTACTTTTCTTCGTGCGATATTTTTCCGCCCGTTTAGACTTTCCTTCGCCCCCACTATCTGCCCCTGGGTCTCCGAGGATGTTTTTTATGCTGCACACGGAAGTTCTAACTTTTCAAGTCTCTGGACGATATACTAAAGTGTGACCATTCTGAAAGCTACCTAGCAGTACTTGCTGGTGTTTCCATTTTTATCAAGCTTTGAATGCAAAATGGTAGGGAACATTGATTTCTCATTTCCCTATCTTTTCTCTTAGACGAGCATTGGCCATGTTTAATTACGAAGAAAGATCAAAGAGAGAGAACAAGATATTATCCGACTTCCGAGAGATGATTCACCAAAAAATCAACAACAAGAAATGAACTGTAAACCATAATTTTCCATTCGTACATCTTCTGTCATCTGCCATCCTGCATATTGAATTTATTATTATTATTATTATTATTATTATTATTATTATTATTATTATTATTTTAATTTAACTATGACAACAAACAGCTAAAATTGTACAGCGAACTGGTTTACAGTTCAGTTAGCAACAACGACGGCGACGGCTACGAAAACGTCACTTAAAAAGTGAATTGGCGCTACTTCAAACTTTATCGCATATATTCCAACTCGTTCAATTTGTCAAATGTTGATAAATTTTTCTGGAGTTGAATTCTAAAAGATTGTATCAAAGTTCAGGAAAAGAAAAGCCAAGTGGTTGTCTTGTGTTCACGTTCTCGACAAAACGTGAAATTAGGCAGTTTCAGGTTGTAGTCGTGCAGCTACGGCAAAGAAGTGAAGAAAAAAGCGTGATGCAAGTGCAAAGTTTTGTTTTGCCAATCTAAACCTATTGCTTTTTTCCGTTCTTGTTGCCTTCGCCTTAGTCGTTGCTTAAGGTCTCTATTCTAAGACGGAGAAGGAGGACCCAGCCCAGCAGAGCAACGCCGAAAAAGGTGCATTCCATTATCGTAGGCATGACGACGTTTTATGTTAACTCCAGCTATACTCTTTAATAGGCCATTTCCGAGTTGTCCTAAGCCTCTATTTCAAAGCGAGGCTAAGTGCGAAGCCATTGATGTGAAAAATATTTTTTATTCTCATGCAAATAAACAGGAAAGGTGGTGCTCTTAGCCTCTTTTTGGCTTATTATCTTTTGTTCGCGCCCATGTTTGTAGGATTTTTTACTTCTTGCCCCGATTGACTACCCCTTAGGTCTACGAGATCGCCCTAAAGCGCGGTCGCTAGTCACTAACGAAAGTCATAAGCTTAGAGTTTCTTCTAAGAATCTGGCATCATATATACGTAAAACAGATTGGTTTGATTTTGACATTCGCTAAGCGAGCATCCTAGAAGAGAAACCTGTTTTTAGGTCTCTTCGTGAAGCGCTTTTTTTGTCTCTGTGGTGTTTCTGAATGACCACGTGCTTTGAATATGAAATCCACCCCCGTATTCTCGTCACAAATCTAAATTTCGATTGGTTGAGAGGAGCACTGCCAAAACACTATATTTGCAGAGGAACAAAACCATTCATAGGTAACATGGGAAGGTTACAAAGCTAACGAGAAGACCCATGGGAAGGCCCCAAGGTACTTTGCTCACTTTGTAAATTCTAATAAGTTCTTGTTTTCTATCGCGATAATACTGTTTCCAGTCGTTACACAAGGAACTTCTCCCTGATGCGTGTACTAGCCTATTGTGAACTTATTTTGCGTCAGTAGACAATGATAGCTGCAATGATTGTATGCACGGTTCGTAAAACGATTAAATGTAGTATATAATATTCGATTTTCATTTGGTACTGGTAAATGCATATCTTTTAAGTAATAAAGAACCCATAAAAAACAAAGAGTTCTTGGGGTTGATCAAGTAGTCCGTTTAAGTATTGGTGCCACTGACGTGCTGTAGATCAATTATAATAAGAAAAGTGTAGTTTGTTTATTCAGTGGATTGGTGAAGTTCCATCACTTGTAAATATATATCTGAAGTAACTCTTTGAGAACAAGAAAATATTGTAATACACTTTGTATCATTAAGGTTGATAGTGCAATTGAATTTCATCTTTGTATGTTTAATTTTATTTTTGTGTTTGTGAGTTTGTCGGCATAGTTACGTAAGACACTGGGTTTGAAACAAAGGAAATGACATTTTAATCGAGGACAACAACGCAGTGAGCCACTACATTGACACTAGCAGTCTAATACCCATGATGCATTCGGACTCGCTAAACTCTGGAAACTATCCTTCGAGTACCCAGCTATTTCTCACACTAGGCGCAGGTGAAATATGGCGAGCAGAGGTCGCTTTTCCGCCTTGCCGCTACTTCCCACGCTGGGGCGGATCCAGGATTTAGTGGAGGGGGGTTTGGATGAATAGTCTCCGGGAAGGCAATTTCCAGGGTTTTAAAGGATAATTGTAAGTTGCCACATGCCTTTGAAACGACCGCTTTTTTAGCTGTTTTAATCATGGACTACTCTTAAAAATTTACAACAATCGAGACCAATAACGAATATAGATCTTAAATAACGTGTGGCTATTTAAACCTCATTTTAGGCTGCTATGCTATCAATTCAACGGAAAATGATGATGGAGTACTACAACAACGAGACTGGAAATAGGCTAGCTATTTTCTAATTGTTCCAAGCTTCTGTTTTAAAACGAGGTCGACAAGGCAAAGTGAGACCGGAAGTCTTTCAAGAAAACTCATTTTCACAGATGTCTCGTCGCTCAGCGGGAGGGTTGAAGATTTCTCTTCCTATGATAGTTTAACTTCTGGTAATTTATGCTGGCACTTGTTTTCACGTGTTTTAAATGTTACGCTAGCTTTTAACTGTTTTTTCTTCAGTTAATTCTTCCAGATATCCAATATGTTTTCTATCATCAACGAAGTTTCTTGAAGTTGTTACTAGAGACCTTAAAAGAGAATATTCTACTATATATTAAGTTTGTACAACATTTAGGTACTATACTGGAATTGCTTTATTGCAGCACAAGCACCAATTTCTAATTAAAAAGGTGATATATCGGTAAGGTGCGAATCGATTTCAAGACCAAGCCATTTCCGAGCTTATTCAACCTACCACCTATCGTCAAAGAGGAGAGGGGGTGTTTTAATTTTTCTGCTCGTTTTTGAATGGTCATCAACCATTTTTGCACTTGGCGGAGCAGTCCAAGAATCAAAGCGATCTTTTGAATTTACCATCATATTTTTACTTACATTACTCGTAGTGATGTGAACCTGTAATATATACAACAAAGTCGAGAAAAATTTCCCTTCATGAATTCGCCTAATAATTATATGAACAGTTGATTGGCAAATAGATCGAGATGAAAATCATTGAGGACTGCTGAATGTCCTGCCTGCGTCAGAGATGTACAGCTATTTCATCTGTTTAGTGATGTTTGAGTAAACAAATTAGTTATCCACTCACTTGAATTTTTAATTTATCAGATATTCTACGAGTAAATAAGCAGAAGTGTTCGTGAACACATGTACATAAACTATTTTATGAAACCCTCCGCAATACAGCCTTGTTTTAATTTGTTCCTGCTGTGTTACCACTGGCCAGTGACATGAAAGCAGTGAAGGAAAACATTGTAATAAAAACTTAATAAGGATCGGGCTTTTTAGATTGATTTAACCTGAGGCAATGCAGCATTAACTAGCTCATTTGTTTTGTTTTGTTTTTCGTGTTTAATTAGGCCCATGCATACAGAAATAGGCGTCATTTATTAAGGCTAGCGCCCAGGCAGTTATTAATTAACGGAGCAAAGGAATAGATCACTGATCAAATTCATATGCATCAAGATCGCTTTTGAACCTGTTTGGACCCGAATTATAATTTTTATTGCCGATAAAAGGTCGTATAGAACAAAAAGAGAATAATGTGAAGCTTCTTTTTTGGATTTTTCTTTTCCATATAGACTGAGAATGGCGTCTCAAGGAAATTTTACCGGACTGTTGAACCAGACAGATGACGAAGACCCACGATGCTCGGTGAAATTGACTGGTGGAATCAATAGCCAACTGACAGGTCTTTCAGTTGGAAACATATTCCTGTCCATTACTGCATTTTGTGGAAATGTCTTGATCCTAGCTGCTCTTCGATCACAAAGTGTCTCGCCTTTATCCTTCATCAAAATTGTTCTATCGTAACCTAGCAATATCTGACTTTCTTACTGGAATCGTTGTGGAACCTGTACGAGTTACGTACTGGATATCTGCGGTTAAGCAACAATGGACCATTTGTCGCTACTTATTAGTCGCTTCCCAAAGCTTAATTTTAATCTTGTTTTCTGTGTCTTTGCTAACAATGACGGCAATAAGCATAGACAGACTTCTTTTCCTGTTGTTAGGCATCAGATACAGACAGATCGTAGCTTTGAAACGAGCAGTTCTACTTGTGGTGGCTTTCTGGGTTATGTCACTTGCTGGCGCATCTTCAGTATTCTTTAGGTATTCCCAAATTTCAGCATGGTATGGCCATATTCTCATCGCACTTTGTTTGGTAACCTCGACTTTTTCTTACGCAAAAATTTATCAAACACTGCATCAGCATCGAATTCAAATACAGCACCAAGTTCATCGAGACCATCTCGTAAACCGAGCAATTTCCCCTCTGAACATGGCAAGATACAAAAAAGCAGTGTCCACCGCGATGAGGATTCAGTTGATATTGGCAGTCTGTTATATTCCACAAGCCAACGTGGCAGTTTTCCTCACTCAAAAAGGTTTAACTTCACCTGTTTACACTGCTTTGCAGTATGGACAGACTTTAATTTTCCTGAACTCATCATTAAACCCTTTCTTTTACCTCTGGAAGATTGGCAAAGTCAGGAAAGCAGTAAAGAACATAGTCAACCAACTTTGCTGTTCAGTTTGTTAATTTGTATCCACTGGCCTTAATTTGTCAATAAACTCTCGGCACATTTTGACTTCAAACTTTGAAGGGAAAACGTCGGGGATTAAATAAAAACGACAAAGTAAATTACAAAAGGAATACATAATCATTACTTTTTAAAACAGAAACTTGGTAAAGCCACACTAAAAACTGAAAACAACATCTTCCCTTAAAATTACAACATTACCGTCATAACGGATGGAATAGAAAGTGGAAAAACAATATCACTTATAAAATCCACCTGTCCGCTGTTATCCAATGATAATTCATAACCCTAATTGTTTGCTCTAACGGGATGTTATTTAACTTTTAAGCTAACTCGTGGGTCTTACAAACAAGAAGCTGACGGCAGGACAGCAATATATGGGCGGGTGTAGGGGGGAGGGGGGGCAAATTTTAAAGAATATTCACCAAAATCTCTTTTCTAGAGCCTTACATAATAATAATGATGATAATAATAATAATAATAATAATAGACCCTTATATAGCGCGGTATCCACTAATTGCTCAAAGCGCTGTTCAATCATGGTAACAA